GTCTCCCTGTGGTGACAATCTCTCTGTGGCGGCAGTCTCTCTGTGGACAGTCTCCCTGTGGCTGCAGTCTCCCTGTGGTGACAGTCTCCCTGTGGCGGCAGTCTCCCTGTGGCGACAGTCTCCCTGTGGTGGCAGTCTCCCTGTGGTGACAGTCTCCCTGTGGCGACAGTCTCCCTGTGGCTGCAGTCTCCCTGTGGTGACAGTCTCTCTGTGGCGGCAGTCTCTCTGTGGACAGTCTCCCTGTGGCTGCAGTCTCCCTGTGGTGACAGTCTCCCTGTGGTGGCAGTCTCCCTGTGGCGACAGTCTCCCTGTGGCGGCAGTCTCCCTGTGGCGACAGTCTCCCTGTGGTGGCAGTCTCCCTGTGGTGACAGTCTCCCTGTGGTGACGGTCTCTCTGTGGACAGTCTCCCTGTGGCTGCAGTCTTCCTGTGGTGACAGTCTCTCTGTGGCGGCAGTCTCTCTGTGGACAGTCTCCCTGTGGCGACAGTCTCCCTGTGGTGACAGTCTCCCTGTGGTGGCAGTCTCCCTGTGGCGGCAGTCTCTCTGTGGTGACAGTCTCTCTGCAGTGACAGTCTTGCTGCGGTGACAGTCTCTCTGTCGGGCCTCAGGCGCCAGATCTTCAGTCTCCTGAGCGTTCGTCTCTGCCAGGTCCAGGTGAGGCGGATCAGGGCCCCAGCGCAGCCTGGCTGCACCCTGGCGTCCCTCGACAGCGCAGTCGTTCTCCACAGGTGCCGTGTCCCCACAGAGGGCAGCTCTTCAGAGATACCCTGTCTGCCGTGTCTCTGAATAACCAAGTTGAAATACGTCAGAGAAGCCATTCCAGGGTGACGTGTTTTGGTTTCTCTCGCAGACCGGCAAGTGGTGGGAGGCGGAGGAAGCTGGAGAAGAATAAATGGAGGCCGGGGCCTGGTGGGGACAGTTGTAAACAGACAGTCGTGGGGCTCCCACTCGGGGGTGAGATTTGCCCAGAGCGCTGGAAGAGGCGTGGGCCGCCGTGTGGCTGTCTAGGACAGAGCACTGCAGACGCGGGGGACAGGGTGGCTGGGACACCAGACGGGAGGTTCAAGCAGGGCGGCCAGGCTGGCAGCGTGGCTGCTGTCCTACTTCGCTGTCCTACTGAGAGCAGGCGGGGCAGGGCCAGGGGCCGCGGGGGCCAGCGAGGAGGAAGTGGCAGGAGGCAGACAGGTCCCAGGACCCCGTGGAGGCACAGCCAACAGGGATGGAGATTTGGGACGAGAGGAAGAGGCCTTGAGGACGACCCCAAGGTGTCTGATCTGAGCGAGCTTCAAAGGGTGGGGCTGCCTCAACCGAGGTAGGGGATAGTCTGCGTTTCACCCACTGCAGCATCCTCTCGTCTGTAAAAGGCAATTGGGATAATTTGGCCATCTTTGTGTTTTTATCACATAACTCTGGCACCTTCTCGGAGCTGGCACATAAATCCCTTCACAAAAGGCTGGTGTCCACAGCACACAGTACCGGCCCAGAGACGAAGGCAGCCTGGGGGACCAGACCGCTTCCCACTCACACATCCACGTGGCTGCGTTTCCGGGATCTGGTGCAACGTGGCACAGAGTGGGTGTTCAACAGGTGGCTCATAAATGGCTCCTCGGCCAGAGCGTGGGAAGAGCGTGGCCGCGGGAGCCGGACCACAGTCCCAGGCCAGCTCTGCCTCTCGAGGAGAGTCGCGGGGCGGAGAGATCAGTGACCCCACACTCCGCCTCCCCCATCCATGAAGTAAGGATGACAGCCTGGAACAGACGGGCGACACCTGCCCCTAAAGGCTGTTCCACACTTGTTAGTCCCCCTCTTATGAGCCATTTACACTCCAACTCCAATCGAAGTTGCAACACACCACTTACAAGAATTACGACCAAAAAATACAACATTGAAAAATGGCTTCAAGTAGCAGAGAAACAGCTTGAGTCTGGACCCAGAAACTTGCCCGAGATGAGCGCTCAGATTAGCTCCGAGTTTCTCACTAGCCAAGGCAAATAAATAGACATTCTGGGTCATATAAATCTCATCCAAGATGAGGAAACAAGTTTCCCTAGCGTGACAAGCTTTCCTGGCTCTAAATTCAAGGAGGGACCATTGCGAAGCATGTTGTCCACTGTGTCCTAGAAGACATCGCCAAGACGCGCTCACGACTCTGTTGACAGTTTTGAAAAAGTCACAAATACACTGCTCCTGTGGGCACCTCCAGTCAGCTTCGTGCCGGTGTCTGGGATGTGGTCCTGTGGCAAAGCCGACGTGAGAACGTGGCACAGCACCTCGCCCTGTGCCCGGTCCTCGTGGACGCTCGACACGTGGGAGACGTGAATGGCCTGGTCACTGAGCAAGTCCAGGACGCGGCGCAGAGCCCGACGGTGATACGCATTTCTGGGCGGAGCTGAGCTCACGTGGCCGTGCTGTGTTTCAGCCGTAACACAGGCGACAGCAGCGAGGACCTGGAGGGCTGGATTGGCAACACCCGCCTCAGCCTCGGCTGGCCAGACGGAAGTGGTTCAGGGCTGTGGTCTCGGTTCAGCACCTTAGTGCCGTTAGTACCGGGGCCGAGAGCCAGAGGAAAGGGCTTGGGGGCCCAGTTTGGGGGGCAGAGGGAAGGACTGTCCTCTCATAAAAATTCCCACCAGGGAAAGCTCAATGTCTTGTTCAAAAATGGCGGGTCTTACCAGCCAGCCCTAAAAGGGAAGGAGGTGCTGGCACAGGCTGCAGCCTGGAGGAACCCTGAGGGCTGCTGAGTGCAAAAGCCGGTCAAAAAGGGCAAATACGGTTTGATCCCGCTCCTGTGAGGAGTGGAGATCACAGAGACAGAGAGTCGCACGGTGGCTGCCGGGGCCGAGGGAGGGGGGCGGGGTTAGAGCTTGGCGGGGACAGTCTGCTTTGCCGGACGAAGGGCTCTGTGGGTGGACGGTGGTGGCGGCTGCACAACTGTGTGCCTGCACTTAAGGCCGCTGCACTGCGCACCTAAAAATGGTGAAGATGGAAAATTTTGTATGTGTATTTTACCACAATAACAAAACGTTAAGAGAAGACAAAAGAAAATGGCGGGTCTGAGGTAGCCAGGGGCGGGGGCGGCACCCCCGGGAACCCCCAGCCCTGCGGAGCCTGACTCTGGCTGGGCCTGGCGGTGGCACCTGGGACGAGCAGCTCACGCAGAGAAGGGACAGGGATGGTGGCTCCAGCAGGGGCCCCGGGTGGCTGGGCGGGCGCATGTCCCAGCCGCCGAGCTCCACGGCCCCGGACGGCCGACTGGGTCCCTCACGTGTTCCCAGCAGGGTCCAGCTGCCGCCGCGCACACAGATGCCGACATAGAGGAGGAGACCCTGAGGAGAAAGCTGGAGCAGCTGACCAGCAACGTCAGCGACGAAGAGGCCTCGTCTGAGGAAGAGGAGGGCAAGGATGAAGAGGCAGAGCAGGACAGGGGCACCTCCATGAGGGCCCTCGCCCTAGCGGGCCCAGAGGTGAGGCCACCCCCAGGGGTCTCCGCAGGACCCAGCAGAGGTAGGGGCGGGGATGGACAGTGCCAGCCAGCCAGCGGTTTGTAACCAAGCCACCGCCCTCCCCAGGGAGGGTAGCCAGCCTCAGGGGACACAAAGGGCCCTTGACAAGAGCCGCAGGGGTGACCAACGCTGGCCGACCAGCTCCCAGAGTCCGCAGAGGAGCGCGGCGTAAGGCTGGTGGTCAGCCCCGGTGCATCTCTTTCCCAGGGGTGCACAGCCACAAGCCAAACGTACAGCCAGGACAACAGCCCTCAGGGCCACGGGGACCCCGCCCAGCACAACAGGACCACAGACGAGGAGCTGTCGGAGCTGGAGGACAGAGTGGCCGTGACGGCATCCGAGGTCCAGCAGGCGGAGAGCAAGGTAGCCCCGGTGGGCCGCGGGAGCACGGGATTCTGCACAGATAGATGGTGACTGTGACCAGGCCGTTGAAGGGCTCACGCAGAGCCCCCTCCCCCCCTGCCGTCGGCCCAGTGTGCACGTCTGTGGAGGCCGAGCACGGTTTGGGGTTCCTGGGGGACTCACCTGCCTCAGCTGTGGCTGCAGAGCCTGAGTCTGGGCGAGGGACGTATCCATAGTGTACAGAGGTCAAAGGACAGAGCCAAGCATTTGGACCTCCTGGGACAGCCAAGGCGAATTGGGCGCTGCTGTGTCTCCCCCGCCCCCCAAGACCCACCAAGAAGGGAGGGTCTGCCCTTCAGGCTGCAGAACAGCCAGCACCCACTGCCCTTCCTCCTGCTTTTCTCGTCAGCAGGTGCCTGGCACTCCCCAAGGAGGAAGGGCACAGCCCCCAGAGCTGTTCATGTCACGGGGAGTGAGTCAGGCTCCATTCCCTCTTGTTTTGCAAAGAATTTTCAAATGCCTCCCGTGCGGCCAGCATCGTGTGGGGCACAGAAGATACAGCTGTGAGCATCTTAGACCAAGCCCCTGCCTTCATGCAGCTTCTATTTTAGTGGAAGGCAACAGACGACAAACAGACAAGACCATTTCCGTTCATGAACAGCTATGAAGACAATAAGTGAGGGTGACCCCTGGAGTGCTGGGTGGGGGGGGCTTAGGTAAGGTGGCTGGAGGGATACTAGGAAAAGAAGCCAACATGGCAAATCTGGAGGATGGGGTCCAGGTAGAGGGAAGGGCAGGTGCAAAGGCCCTGGGGTGGCCTCAAGCTTGGCAAGTTCAGGGCCCAGCAGTGAAACCTGACTCCGGAGCAGAGTGATGAGGGCAGGGTTGGAAAGAGGCAGAGCGCCACAGAGAGAGGGACCGGGGCAAGGGGTGATGGATGGGGCCTGCTTTCTGTTTCCAGACTCTTCCTTTGGCCTCTGTGGGAAGACTGTCCTGACGAGGGAGGAGAGGAGGGCCAGGGCAAGGGCGGTACCCATGGGGCTGAGGCATGGTGGGTGGTAAGGAATAGCGGGATAGCGGGGGCCCTTTCCCAGGCACGGCCACCTTCAGGCCCTGATGGGGCCTCCAGAGGATGCACAGATCCCCCTCCCTCCTGCCTGGGCGACCCGTGGGGAGCATGCACACACACAGCCGCGGAAGGGGCTGGGGCTGGCGCCAATCTTAAGGGAAAACACAAGTGAAACTGGCTTCGTGAGTGGACTGGGGGCAGCTGCGCTTTCTCTTCCGTGACCTGGAGCCGGGACGCGGCGTGTCTGTCTGTCTGCTGTTCTCTCAGGTTTCAGACATCGAGTCCAGAATCGCAGCCCTGAGGGCCGCGGGGCTCACCGTGAGGCCGTCGGGAAAGCCCCGGAGGAAGTCCAGTCTCCCGGTGAGTGGGGGGCCACATCACCCAGGCGGCTGTGTGTTCCCGGGGACCTCCCCAACATGGCGCCCACCGTGGACCTGAGAGCCGGAGCCCTAGGCTGGCGCCTGCCCTCCCCTTGAGCCACCATCTGGGTTTCCTAATAGCAAACAGTGGCTACGCACAGATTCCTTTGTGTTATTTGTGCTTCTGGTTGAAGAAAGCTCTCTTTGAGGGGACCGTCAGCCCCCGAGCTGAAACACACACATACGCAGTTTAACACACACAAGAAGCAGCCCGAAGGGTAACACCTGTTGTCGAAAGGCTTAGCACATTGCCGCCTCACAATGGGTGTGACTAGGCTGGATCGGGGCACACACCTCGAGGGACCTGCCCTCTTAGCAGAGATCCCAGGCCAACATCTTCCTCCTGGTTCCACTCAGGAACCTTCGACAAAACCACCCTGCTGAGGAAATTTGGCAAAAAAATAAAAGATGTCCTTAGGGGAGTCCCAGACGCGGTCACCAGGTAAGATACAGGATGCCCAGGGAAATCTGAGTTTCTGATAAACGGCAACTAATTTTCCAGTATGAGTATATCCCATGCAACACTTGGGACATACGCTAACAAAATCTACTTGTTGTATATCTGAAATTCAGCATTAACTGGCGGTCCTAAATTTTAATTTTCTAAGCCTGGCAGCCCTCGTCCCGGAGCCCCGGGGTGGTGTGCATGGGCTGACGCGCCACCCAGCGCTCCCGACCGCGTTTTTGCAGAGAACACCCGGCCTTGCGTCCCACTGGCCCGCTCCCACTCTCCGCCCTGTGGCTGGGGGTTCAACAAGGCAGTGATGACCTGACAGCTTTTCCCTCATCCTCCAGATATTTCTTCCTCGAGTTACCGGGAAGCTTGGCAAGAGTCCGGAGGATCCGGCCGCAGGCCCTTCCGATGAGGTCCAGGTGTGTGCTGTTCCATCCACGCCCCGGAGGCCGCACGAGGAGTAGATGAGTCTGTAGAGTGGCAGGGCTGAAACGTCCACACCGAGGACATGGCAGCTCCCATGGGCTGGCTGCCCTGGTGGCCCGCGCTGGGACGGGTGTGTGCGGCAGCGAGACAGGCGAGGAAGGCAGCGAGCAGACGCTGGCGGGGAGCAGACCCCGGCAGGCCGACTTTGGCTCCGTCCTTCGGGGAGCTCTGGAGTCAGCGTGGGCCACACCCCGGAGTTGTCCCGCTCGGGGGTGAGGCAGCTGGGCAGCCTCAGCCATGGACACACGTTCCGGGCACTGCTGCCCCGCCCTGAGCAGGCACAGGGGGCTCCAGGGGCCTGGGCTCCTCCCGCCGCCGGGAAGGCAGGTGCTGGCTGCTGGGAGCGCAGACACCCGGGAGCCAGTGCCCAGACACGCGGGGAGCATGGGCAGAACACGCCCAGACGCTGCACGCGGAGGCAGGAGCCAGCCTGGGATGGAGGAGATCTCCTGCGTTTGGGGGTGGTTAGGAGTAGGATGAGGGGGTGCCACTGCCGGCGCCCCAGGAGGAGTGGGTGTCAGCTCCAGGTCCTGCCCGCAGCCCGGTACCCGCTGGGAGCCGTAACAAACATCTGGCCCCTTCCTCTTATTATGCTCTTCATAGATATAAATTGTACCTTTTTAATACCCATCATTCCGTTTGCTGTTTAGAGACCTGGTGAGCAGGCAGTGCTGTTAACCCTGTCGTACTGACGAACAAACTGAGGCTCAGGGAGGTGGACATGCTTGATCAAGCGCACAGACAGGAAGGGACGGTGGGGCTCGGCCCAGGCCCCCCTGGCCCTGACCTCCGCGCTCTCCACTGGGCCGTGGTGCTTCCTCCTTGTCCTGGGAAGCCCAGCCCTGAAGGCTTCCGCAGCTGCCTGAGCAGCCCACAAAACCAGACAGGCAAAACCACAAGGGGCCAAACGTTGGGAAGAACTTGTAGGAGAATTGGGCCAGTGGCTCTCTCCACCCCCCAAAAAGGCCGAACGGAGAATGAATTTCTCCCACTGCAGCGAGGCGACGGACTGGAAGAGAGGAGGGGTGTGGCCTGACAGCCGCGGGGAGCTGGGAAGTGTATTAGACGAGATGAATCTTCTAATATCCCTGTAAAGAGGGTGATGGGCCCATTCTACAGCAGAGGAGACTGAGGTTCAGAGAGGATAAGTGAATTACTTGTCTGTGTCTCACAGTGGTAAGGGGGTAGCGCTGGAATTTGAACCCAGATCCGTGAGGCAGGAATACGTGCTGTCTCCCCCATACCACCCCAAATTGGCAGTTCCCCCAAAGCTGAGCTTCTCTTATACTCAGGCATTTGGCGCTTAACGCATTGAAAACGTGCTGATGTTGTTAGAAGTGCAAATATTGCCAGAGAACAGAGAAGCTGGACCTGGTTAATTAGAATCTGGAAGAACAATAAGAATCCAAAATTGGCCCACAGAGTTTCTAAACATTACAACAATTTGATGATGTCTGGGGACGTTCTCTTTCTTCTAGGCAACAGCTGTGCCCTATCTTCTAAGGAGAAAGTTCACTGATTCCCCAAAAAATCCAGGTAAGAGCCACCCGCTGCCCTCACCCCTGCGGGCCCGGGAAATGGGACTGGGGGTGTTCCATGAATTTCTTCGTCATCTGTGGGACACCTCCCGTGTCCTGACTCCTGAAGAACGCTCTCGACACCACTCGGCGACCCTCCGGCCCGGGTGTTAGTGATCCGGACGACGGGAGTTTGATGCTTCAGGCATGCGAAGTTGGTGGCGGCAGTGTTTTCCCTGCCTTTCCATGTAGATTGTCCTGACACGGTACACGGTTCCTGGCCTTCTTACGGAATGTACAGGACGTCATTTAGCCTTCCTTTCAGTCTTGGAGGTGACCACGACATCAGCTTTGTCCTGGACAAATGGGACATGAGGGCTCCCGGCCTCCCCTCACGTGGCCGGGCTGTCACGGCTCACCTGGCGGCCCGGCCACGGCTCGCCAGAGGCCAGCAGCTGCCCTCGATGTTCGGAGACCAGCCCCTCGCTGATGCATCTTTCAGGCCCTCCCGTTACCCTGTGTTTGAGCCGGGCCCTCGCACCCTGCCGTTCACACTCCGCCGCAGCCACGGTCCCGACAGGCGGCTCTCTCTGTCCCTCCTCCCCTCACAAACAGCCCTTGGCTCCCAGCTGCTGCAGAACGCAGTGGGACGTCCTAGCACAGCCCCGCAGACTTTGACCATTTGTCCACGCGGGAGCCCAGCCTGCCTCCTCCTCCGCCTCCTGAGATGCGCTTTCCTTCCTGTGGGACGACACAGTCTCAGCAGACGTTGGTTTCCGAGCCCACCTCGCAAGCCCAGACGCACACGACTCCCCCTCCACACACCTCTGTCCTGTTCGGGGTAAGTCTGTGATTAATAAACGTGCCTCCCTTATTCTGTTTTCCCCAAAGGCAAAGATGATGATTCCTTTGCTCGGAAATCCGTGTACCGCGGTTCCCTGACTCAGAGAAACCCCAGCGGCAGGAAGGGAATGGCCAACCACATCTTTGCGGTAATGTCGCCTCTCGTTTTCTGAGGATCTCTTAAAATTCCGTGACCTGTAAGATTTACATGTAGATATTGAGTCTTCAGAGTAAAGAAAATTGGGACAAATGAATAAGAATAAAAGGCAGAGATTCAAAGCAAAATCTTGCCGACAGGGACTTGAAAATCTAAGTGCTTCGAAATAAGAGTAATATCTTCTTGTGCTTTAGAGCTTTCGATTTTCAAATACTTTCCATCCGTGCACCCCAGTGGATGAGGGCCAGTGTCGCTGACTCAAATTCGTAGCTGGGGAAACAGAGGCAGAGAGAACTTGAGTAAAAAAACCCAGGGGGTGTTGACTGATGCCTTGAAAAAAGCAAACACAAGCATTTGACCAACGTGTCCACACGTGTGTGCATGTGGCTGTGTGTGCTCCTGTGTGTGTATGTGTGTGTACCGGGGCATCCTCTTATATCTGAGTTTGTATCTATCTGTGTACATGCCTGTGTGTGTGTTTCTGTGTATGCATCCTTGTGTGTTTTATGTTTTTGTGTGCACACCTGTGTGTTTCTATGCGCACACCTATATGTATCTGTGTGCACACTTGTGTGTGCACACCCATATAATCTAAGTTTGTGTCTACCTATGTGCACATCCATGTGCACACCTGTGTGTTTCTTTGGGCGTGCCCATGTGTGTCAATTACATGCCTGTGTGCGTATTTGTATGTACGCTAATGCACATGCATCTGTGTGCACACACATCTGTGCGTACTTACATGTACGTGTGTGTCTGTGCTCCGCAGAAACCCGTGATGGCCCACCAGCACTGAGGGGGAGGTCCCCGGGGCAGGACAGAGACACAGGGCCGCCCTGCGCTCGTTTGCCGTCCACTGTGGCCACCGTGTCCCTCATTGGCTCTGCACTTCCTGCTATCCACGGTCACCTCACGGTGAGAAACACCTGCCCACGTGGACTCCCACCTGCGAGATGACAGCAGCTCTCGGTCCTTCGCTGTTCACCCAGGTTCACTGACAACTTCCAAGGCCACCCCGTCAGCCTCTCTGATGTAGGGGAAACAGCTAAGCTGGTGTGACTTTAGGACAATGTTGTTTAAACTTTCTGAAGGACACACGAAGACCTTCTCCACTGCAATCTCTCACCCCTTTCCCTCTGGGCTTTGGTATGTCGCTTTCCATAAACGGAATGGGAAAGAGATGACTCGTGAGGGCGCCAGCCGTGTGTGTATTCCTGACCACCTGTATCCGAATGTGGGCAGCCGCGTGTGTATTTCCCGTGGGTGTGACTGGAAATCAGGCATCAAGACAAGTGACCGAACTAATGAACAGCTGAAAAATGAGGGAGGAATAGACACCCCCAGCCCCCACTCCACACACACCCATTCTGCGAGTTCCTCTCGGGTCCACAGACTGGGAGAAATTACCGTGCGGCCGAGGGTAGCGCATGCGCGTGGTAGCAAGTGAGCATTTGATCTGTGCCCGGAAGCAGGTGCAGAGGGCTTGCCGGGACAGGCAGCTGACGGAGCCCTGGACAGGCAGGGAGAAGACCTGAGTCCCGGCCTGGCTCTGCCTCTCACTACGGTGGCCCCAGTGGGACAGAGGACAGAAGGTCAGGGCCGATTAGTGACGTCTGCCAAGGGTAGGGGGGTGCGAGGGGTGGCAGAAGTCGGCAAGCCACTTGCCATTGGATGCACAGATGATCCCTGAGCTCTCCGTCTCGGCCAGTCGGGGACTCGGAGTTATTGCTGGATGTCTGTGTGCCCCATCTAGTTTTAAGGGGAGCCCACGGGGACTCCCCAGAGCTGCCTTCGAACATCATAGTGGTAATCGTGCCTTCACCCTCACCGAGGTTGACCCCAGACAGGGCCCTTGGTGGAGGCCGGGGTGCTGGGTACAGCTTCCTTCGGAATCAAACAGGTGGCAGAGACAAGGGTCAAGCCTCGTGTCTCCAAGGGTTGACCAAGCTCAGGGTCTCCTGCACTCTCTGAATCTGGCACCTCAGTCAAAACTGAAACTAAGGTTCAAATCCCAGAGTACTTTGCCGGGCGGCGGGGACGCCTGCGTCTTCAGGAGACGGGAGGGCACACCAACAGCGGATTTTCTCACCCCTGTGGCATCAGATAAGAGGCAGGGATTTTTTCGTACGACTCCCAGCATTATTTATAAATTCCATTCTTTGAAAGAATTCTTCAGAGTTCCTTTCCCAGCAGATGGCTACTTAGGGACGGCTTCAGAGGAAGCTGCACACAGCAGGTCAGGGGCCACCAAGGCTGGGGTGCGCGGAGCAGTGCAGCTGCCGGCTCCTCGTTTCCAGCCAAAGATTGACAGGAGTCAGGGGTTTCACTCCAGATGGAGACCAGAGGCAAGAATTTAAAAGATTTCTCTGAAGTATGATTCTCCGGCAGTCTTCTTTATCTGCTGGAGAAAGAGTTTTAAGGAGAGTTGAAAGAAAAGTTGAGAGTTGAAAGAAAAAGTTTTAAGGAGAGTTGAATACACAGATCTCCCAAAGACGCCTCACACTTACGAGTGAGCTGTGAGCCTGCAGCACAGTTGCTCTGCCCAGAGACTCTAATGTCCGACACATTGCAGCCCAGCCCCCAGATCACCAACGGACACCTCACCTCACTGCTCGTTGTTGGAGCAGAGCGCAGTTTGACAGGCTGTGGCTCCAGGTCCCGTCAGAGATCAAGCCAACCCTGCATTAGAGTGTTGCAGTGTTTACCATGATTCTCTGTCAAGCCACTGTTTCAGTAAGTTGCAAGGACTGTCACCTCCCAGCGACTCTATCTAGAAGAACCTGCTTTCCTGGGAGCCAAATAGCCCATCCCCAAAGGCATAATAGAATTGTCACATGCTGGGCTTCAGGGACCCAGCTGTCTGCATTCAGCACTCTGGCGGGAGCCCAGTAATCTTTATTCATACTGATGATGCTCATATCTCCAAAGTTATTCCTACGGAGAATTTTTATTACATATGAAATATCTTTTTATTTTATTGGGATAAAACAGAAAAGATAGTTACACAAAAACAAAGAAGATAAACAAAAGAAAAAGTCAGAATCATCTACCAACCAGCAGCCACTGTCAAGTCCTTCCAGACATCATTCGTTCATATGTTAGCTTTTAACCAAAACCCCCGAAAGTTAACATACTGGTAGGTGGGAAAAGCCCGTTCTAAACATGACCTCACACGCACAGCTTCTCAGGAAAGAGCCAGCCCCAGGAACAGGTGTTTCGCCTACTTATGCTGCCCAGGTTCCCCTGAAAACATCCACAGCAAATCCTTCCCAGAGACAGCCTCGCTGGTACCTAAACAAACAAACAAACTGCTCAGGTGTTTCCAGTGACCGCACCTGCGGCTCACAGCGTCCATCCTCAAATGCCCCAGGAAATGGTCGCGCTGGGGTCGGAGTATTTTGCAACATCACTGCAAACACTCGTGACCATCTATGATGGCTCATTTTGTATGTCAATTTGGCTCTGCTCCAGCCTGAGCAAGAGCAAGACTCCGTCTCTGCTAAAACTAGAAAGAAATTAGCTGAACAACTAAAAATATATAGAAAAAATTAGCCGGGCACAGTGGCGTGTGCCTGTAGTCCCAGCGACTCGGGAGGCTGAGGCAGAAGGACCGCTTGAGCCCAGGATTTTGAGGTTGCTGTGAGCTAGGCTGACGCCACGGCATTCTAGCCTGGGCGACAGAGCAAGACTCTGTCTCTAAAAAAAAAAATTGGCTGTGCTCTGGGTGCCTAGATATGGGGTGAAGCGCCAGCCTAGATGTTGCTGTGAAGGTATTTTTAGATGTGATTAATATTAAAATCAGTAACCTTCGAGTGAAGCAGATGACCTGCCGTGGTGTGGGTGGGCCGTACCCAATCAGTTGAGACCTTGGGAGAAAAGACTACAGCGCCCTGAGGAAGAGGAAGGAGTTCTTCCCTAGATGCCCTCAGACTCCAGCCTGCCGGCCTGCCAGCCCCCACCATCCCATAAGCCAATGTCTCTCTCTCTCTCTCCTCTCTCCACACACACACACACACACACACACACTACACGCACAACACATGACACACATAACACACACTCACACACACACACACTCCAGTGGTGATGCCCAGGAAGCTGCCTCCACCTCCCCGGGGGCTCAGTTTCCACTGCTCCAGGCGGCTCTCGCGCTGGGCATAAAACCCGCCTCCCAGGCAGGCCCGCACTCCAGGACAGCCGTCGCCACGCCGCTGCAGGTCGACCATCCCTTATGCAAAACGCTCGGGACCAGAAATGTTTGGGGTTGGGATTTTTTTGGATTTTGTGATGTTTGCATTATCCTTACCAGTTGAGCATCCCAAATTTGAAAATCCAAAATCCAAAATGCTCCAATGAACATTTCTTTTGAGTATTATGTCAAAGCTCAGAAAGTTACAGATTTTGAAGCATTTCACATTTCTGGTTTTTGGATTTGGGATACTCTACCTGTGTCTGTTACAGGCGCCTGGGGAGCTTTGGCTGTCACTGACGCGGAGCTGCCCCCAGGCAGTCCGCTGGGGTTTGTCCAGGCACAGCCCAGGCCCTGGGGCGTTTTTACAGCTTCCCAGTGGCTCTAATCTGCGGCCTGAGACAGGGACCCTGTGCCCCACCCTTCCAGGGCCCCTTACCCTGCTGCCCCCTTTACCAGCCACCCCCGGACTGCAAATCTCCCAGGGAGCCCACCTGCCGAACCCTGCATCGCCAGGAGTGGGAAGCCGTGCAGGCAGAAAGAGAATCACGCGTGATCCTGTCCCCGATCGAAGGGTGAAGATTTGCCCTGAAGCTTTTCCTCAAAGCCTGAGGGAGCAGGGGCAATGGCGCGCTGCCCGTCTGTGAGAATCCAAGGGAAGCACCTGCTGCCTCCTCTCCGGACAGTTCCCTTAAGAAGATTGTATTTGCCCAGGTGTGGTGGCTCACGCCTGGAATCCCAGCATTTTTGGAGGCCAAGGCAGGAGCGTCACTTGGGCCCAGGAGTTCAAGGCCAGCCTGGGCATCACAGCAAGACCCTGTCTCTACCGAAAAAAAAAAAAAAAGCAAAAAAATTGGCCAGACGCGGTAGCACACGCCTGTAGTCCCAGCTACTCGGGAGGCTGAGGTGGGAAGACATCCTGAGCCCAGGAGTTCGAGGCTGCAGTGAGCTCTGATTGTGCCACTGCACTCCAGGCGACAGAGCAAGACCCTGTCTCTAAAAAATATATACATATATACTCAGCTTCACTTAAATGATTTTAATATAATCTATAATTATTCAGAACATGAATGATTCCATATTCCAAGTTAAATGGTAGAATATTGCACAGTTATTTAAAATGGCACAAATATACACATTTTTAAAACAACTCGAGGACGTGACTATTACAGGTGAAAAGAATGGGATTCAGCATGTGTAAGTATGATGAATCTACCGAGAAAATACGTGGGGAACTCACTCAAAGGAAATACATCAAATGTGGAAAGTGACTGGCTTTGTTTATATTAAATATTTTGTATGCACTAAATTTTTTCCAGATATCTAGGAATTGCTTTTATAATAAAAAATAAACTTGCCTTATAATGATAATAAATTTGTTTATGTTATGTGTTAATTACGAAGACTGTAAAAGCGTTGAAAAAATACAAATCATAGCACGAGGATGAAAACGGTTTGCATACAGTAAGTGTAACTAGAAAAAGCCGGCGGTGAGTGAGCAGGGCTGAGACGGCCGCGGAGAGCCGCGCCAGGCTTGGTGCCTTTTCCTCCCCACCTTTCCACTGCGCACCCTGATCAAAGACCAAGGACGGGGAGGAAGGCACGGGGAGGACCCCACAGGGACACCTGCTGTGTTACAGCCAAGACGTAGGGACGGGGGAGTGCGCCAGGACGGGGACACTTGACGCCGCCGTCTGCCCGAAGGCCAGCGCAGAGAAGGGAGGCTAATGTGTTTTAAAACCACTTGGCCCAAATGAAATTATATAATCCAGGAAGGAACAAATCAAGTCGCTGATGAGTTTTTTTTTTTAAAAAAAAAAAAAAGGAAAGAAAAAGAGATAAAGGCCTCTCCTGATGCCGCCCGTTCGGGAGGCGGAGCGGTCAGGGACAACAGGCCAGCTTGGGGAGGGCGTCTG